GACCTTTGCTATTTGTATATATTCTGACCTTTGCTATTTAAAACTATAGAGGAATGGTGGGGGGGGGGATGGATTGTCAAATATGTAAATTTTTCTTGTCTGCCGACGATTCCATCTGAACATTGCCTTTAGAAATTAAGACTTTTTTATTGAATATCTTAAAGCCTAAAAAACATCGTACTATCCCTGTTGTAGGTACAGAACTAGAAGAAACTACATTTTGATAAAAAAATCTGAAATTAAATTTTTTCGTTTCATTTCAAACTTTTTAAAATAATTCCCCGCGTACTGCATTGAAAGTTTTGTCAGTCTAACTTTGGTATTAAAAAGTTGTAATTTTATACTTTTGTAGAATATTGTGACCCGACAGTCAAATAAATGATTAGACAAAAATGGAGACAAAATATTATATCAATTGGAGCAAACCATGGATTTATAGATGAAGAGGACGAATTTAAAAAATTTGAGCCGAAGTTAAAATTTAAGCCGCGACCCAAATTTTGTTGGTTCCACTTCAATTTGTATTAAATTTTTCAAGATTTAAGCCGGCGCTCAATTGAAACCGGTTTTTTGAGACGCGGCTTAAATTTATTATATTTGGACACAAGACATTTTTATGATTTTTATGATGTAAAGCTGTAAAACTAATACTCAACATATTACACAATTTCCTTTTATTCCTGATGTCATTTACGATTAAGATTTCATTCATGAAATTTTTACAATTAACTGCAATCTAGACAGAAGTAGAAGATTAAATGTATGTGTGAACACTGGACTGATGCGACTTTGAGACCGCGTAGCTCCTCTAGCTATGATTTAACACACAAATCTTTAAATTTTATTACAAATTCAAAACATTGTCTTTATTAAGAAGAGTTATCATTGAAGACATAAAAGATTTTAATATCACGTTCAAATTAGTTTAGACGTTTATATTTCATTTTATCCGTGAAAAACTCTCGGTTCTTGCAATGGAGAATAGTTTATACTGCAGTTCATCAGTCCAGCTGGAAATTTAAAAGAGTATCTTTCAACGAGGTTATAGTGTAGAGAGTGCTGATGTACGCTAATCAACGAGGTTATAGTGTATAGAGTGCTGATGTACGCTAATCAACGAGGTTATAGTGTATAGAGTGCTGATGTACGCTAATCAACGAGGTTATAGTGTAAAGAGTGCTGATGTACGCTAATCAACGAGGTTATAGTGTAAAGAGTGCTGATGTACGCTAATCAACGAGGTTATAGTGTAAAGAGTGCTGATGTACGCTAATCAACGAGGTTATAGTGTATATAGTGCTGATGTACGCTAATCAACGAGGTTCTAGTGTATTGTGCCGGGGAAATTTAGTGTGGCCAACCCGATAATATCTTTTTGAGTCTATAGTTTTAAATGGATTAGGGGAGGCCTATCTAAAATTCCCGGGCACTTGTATTTGTAGGAGACCTTAATTTTGGATCTATCTTGTAGCTCAATTTAATAGGAGTGGGGAAGAGTTAAACATCTTTATTAATAACTATTGCAATTTTTTAGAATGAAAATACGAGACTCGCTTAGCATTAGAGGCAAAAGCCAACTACTTCATCTGAGTGCGGGTTACTATAGACTGCCTTCTTTTCTCCGACTTTTTGCTGGTTTCATTCTATGCTCGGACTGAGCGCATTTCTCCGTCTCTGCGTAGAGTAGACGGACAGTTTTATGAATACTATAACAACACTAAATTATCACTTTTGATTTGAATCATATTTTTAATGTACTAGGATCCATCTGTGCAACATGAAGAGTAAAAAATAAATAAATCTCAATAAAGTTAAATAATTTGAATTATTGTTAATATTTGCTTTGAACCATAAAAAATGCTAGTTTTTAAAGAAGGATGGAATAAGGAAGAATGGAAGAAATTCAAAGAGGGAAGAATTAGGATAGTTGGAGAATGGTAGGGGAAATATTTGATAGGATAAACTAACAAATGGTAAAGAATAAAGAGAGGATAAACTAAGGAGAAATTAGGATAAAAGATATAAGGAGAGGATAAGGATTGGAATCTAATTCTTAATCTAATCTTGACTAAATCTTAACCTTCTCAAATCTACCTTTTTTAAATTATTGATGTGTGATGATCGTGTGAGATGGATTTTGTGTGTGTATTGTGTGCATGTTCGTGAAGATATCAAATAAAGGGTTTAACTCATTTTTATTAGAAGACAATTAAACATCGAAACTGTGTAATACCTTAAGACTAAGTAAAGACGACTTTTTAAATCTCATATTTAACGAATCATGGTGATTCAGTATAGAGTGCTGATGTACGCTAATCAACGAGGTTATAGTGTTTATAGTGCTGATGTACGCTAATCAACGAGGTTATAGTGTATAGAGTACTGATGTACGCTAATCAACGAGGTCATAGTGTATAGAGTGCTGATGTACGCTAATCCTTAACTAATTTCATTGACCAGGAACTATACCGAGAGCATACTGCATATATGTTTATTATAAGTTGATTCTGGCCTAACCTATAGTATATCAATATTAGTAAACAGTTGTAAGTGTACAGTACAGCTAACTGAGCACACAGGTAGAGAACTATCATACCCCCTGAGCCTGAAATTTAAAAGAGTATCGTTGAACGAAACTCCCGAGTTTCCTTTTTGGCGACTTAACATTTGTGTAGATTTTGTTTTAAGAGCTTCGAGAAAAATGGAGAATATAAACAAACTGAATTATATGATATTTCATAACAAAAATATTTATTTTTACAAAACTGCCTAACTCCGTTCATAAAACCCGGGTTTTAGAACTGGTTTTAATAACGATACCCTGTCTTAAGTTTTGGGCTCTGAGCCCGAAATTTAAAAGAGTATCGTTGAACGAAACTCCCGAGTTTCCTTTATGAGGTCTGTACATTTGAGTAGATTTACATTAAGAAATAAAAAAATAAAGAGAGAAAATAAAACTAACCATTTGAAATTACATTTCTTTTAAAATATTGAAATCTACAAAATTTTATTACCCCATTCGTGAAACCCGGTTTCCGATACTGGGTTTCATGAAGGATACCCTGTTTTAAGTTTTAGATTCTGAGTTTATAAACAAAATACAATATTTCATTTTTAAAAATATAAAATTTAAAGAGAAGAGATTTATTAAGCTTTTAAATAACATTTTTTAACAAATATAAAGATAATTGATTTTTACATATTATAAATTTTAAACATTGAGCTAGTTTAATCAAGCAATTTAAAATATTTTTTTCCGAAGAATATCTATCAATTGGATAACTTATCAATATTTAGTGGGACACACCGTACTTACAGTGATTGCTTTAATACCATAGAGAAGAAAGACGAAATTATATTAAATAAATAAAAAAATTATTTACATTTTTGTGAATACTAGAGTCATCGTCGCATGTATCAATACCATGAAGACGACTTTCGAATATAACTTTGATTGAAATCAAGCTGTTAAACAGCATGGATACACAAAAACATAGAAGTCAAGAGAAACTTTTAATTAAAAAAGCTTCTCTTTGGTTTATTGTAAACTTTTAATTTAAAAAACTTAAACAATCAAAACTTAAATGAAAACTTTTTCTTCATTGTATTGATATAATAGCCTACCACTGTATGGTACCCCAAATTTTCAAAAAAAGAAAAAGTCAATCTTACAGCTCAAAGATGTTCCAGAATGATCAATTCATTCTGGGGAAATAATTGTGGTAATTTTGTCGAAAATTTGAGGTATTACAGGTATTTTAAAATTTAAAAATGTCAAAACTTTATTTTAATTTCTTTTTACTCCATGGTATTAAATCAATCTTTTTATTAATATTTTAAACTTTAACAATGTTTCTAAGAACTAAATATAGAGACCAAATTTTATAAAGTTTATCTCAAATAGAAATAAAAACAAAGAAATTTACAAAATATTTATATCCGTTACATTTATTGTTATTCTTATCTAAAAGTTTGCTGTTATTGTAAGCATAATGCAAAATTATTTGAAATGAGAAAAACAACTCATTGACATGAAAAATTTTTTCTTTCTTTTGTTGATTAGCTTAATTTTTTTAAGATTAGGTCACTAGGTAAGAAGAAAAAGCATTTAATAAAAAATAAGCAAACTTTTATTATTATCAAACTGTGGGATATGACTTGTAACCAAAAATTAGTTGAAACAGTTTTAATAAGCAGAGAACATGGCAGCTGTTTTTGAAAATTAATATTATTTTCTAGATATTAAAAAATAATATTATTTGCTTTAATATACAAATATAACAAATATACTAAAAATTATATTTTGCGACCAATGAACACTGTGTTATAATTGTAATATACAAGGTAACCAACTAAACATGAAAGACCAGGGACGACTTAAAGATCGTTTTTTAGTTGTCCTCTGTATCTTTAGAAATAAAGTCATATCTCAACTGTGCAGTTTTTATTGGGACACCCTGTACTTGAGAATTTTGTAAAGTTTTCACTCCTTTTATACAATTATCAAATGAAAAATGAGGAGAGCTGTCAAATTATTAAATGGATTTTTTGACAAATCTAAAAGTTAGGTATTTTTCTAAAAAATTATTTTCTTGTCAGGTTTTCAATCTTTTTTTCTCAATATGTCTATTATGATAAAGAGACTGTTTCACGTCATACAAATTAATGGTTTGGTATACTTTTCTATAATAAGGCACTAAACTCATAAGTATCTAAACATCAAAAGAGTTAAATAAAGAATAATAAGCATTGAAAATCTGCCCCTGGTCTCTTTTTAAACACAAAATCTGAATGAATCTTGATTTAACATCTTGTTTGGTATTTATTTAAATATATTTAGAACTTTTAATTTTTAATATTTAATTTTAAAATTATTTTATAAAACAATTAAAGCTGGTAATAAAGATATTCAACTTGGTTAACGCTTTTTAGAAATAATATTTTAGTTTAATATTTAATTATTCCTTGAATATTTCATTTTTCTATTTTCATTTCTTTATTCAGCATGTACAGGGTTACCCACACATGATGAGACTGTAAAGACGACTTATAACTCTTAAGATTAAATTAAGTCTTTGAATATAGAATTTCAATGGATTATTACATTATTTGGTAAAAAAAACGAGTTTAAAGTTGCAGGAAATCATGAATATAAGGAAACAGAAAATATAATTCCGTACAGCCATCTCTAAAGTTTTATCCTTTGTGGGTGAACCTGTACATTGAGATCCAGAAACATGTGGAATGGTGTCTTTGTTCTTTCTTTCATTAAAAAATATCGCCATGGATTCTTTAATTCGAAACAGATTTATTTCTAAAAATGTTCATTTTTTAGGAAATAATTCATTTTCAAATAACAAATTCCTTTTCGACATTTCTTAAAAGCCCAATAGAAGACGATGAAAATTTCACTGTTATCTGGTTTCCACTGTTTGTCTAGTCAATTATTGTCAAAAAGTTATTTTTTCTTTATCTGTCTTTTGTACTTTTTTTCCCTGAAGAATACTTATAGACAGTACTTCCTTGTGTACTTTATTTTCTCTTGTCTGTTTGTACTCCTTCTTCTCGAAATTCTTCAGTATAGAATACATCTTATGCTACATGTACTTAATTTTCTTTCGTATGTACTCCATTCATAAAAATTGATCATGGTTGTACTATACATGCTTGGTGTTCTAGGCCCGTACTTGCAGCTAGGGGGTTAGAAACTCTTGTACCCCCTACCGGGACTGTACATGTTGCAGAGTCAGCTGTCACCGTTAGTCGCACAGTTAGTCCGTACACCGGTGCTTTGGCAGGTAGTGTTAGGAGTACGTCTAGCTGTATGAACTTTGCCCCTGTATATTGTTGTACTACAACTTGAAATTTGTGAATTCTGCCAGATCTTGAATATCTGTTAACATTGCGTCTTGTTCCATTCCTCTCTCATCTCTATACAAATCTAACTATTAGACGTACAAGGACGACATTTAAGACATATAAGACCCGATGTAACGTAAAAAAACGCCCTGTCGTGATGTAGTGCCTGTCTGTAAAGTGTTAAGTTCCAAACTCTCCGGGAGTACTGCACGTTATAATTATTTGAAAGAAATAGAAATAGATGTGGCAAAATAAATTTCTGAAAAAAATATTTTGTGAGGGGAAAAATTTATTTTATTAGGAAAAATAACAGATTTTGTGTGGAAAAATTATTTTTTGAGGGGAAAAATGATTTTGTGAGAGGAAAAATTTAGTTGGTGGGGGGGGGTTAAGTTTTGGTGAGTTATAAATGATTTTGTGAGAAAACTAAGTAGTGGTCCCCATGGGGGTAAACTATTCTTATAATAATTAATTATGTTAATAGTATTTTTCTGATAGTTTTGTTTTCCTGATGAGAAGTTCCTTTACAAGTTCATTGTTCAGTTCCTCAATTTGAGCTGGAGACAGGAACATTCAGGTTTAGAGTTGGGGACATTTAGGGACAATTAGGAATATTTCCAGGGACATTTAGGGACATTTAGGAGTATTTAGGGACATTTGAGGACTTTGAGGTTGAGATTTGGGCAATATTTAAGGGCATTTAGAGACATTTTGGAACTTTCATGTTCAGATTTGGGCAATATTTAGGAACATTCAGGTTCTAATTTGGGCAATATTTAGGGACATTTAGGTATAGATTTGAGTAATATATAGGGACATTTAGGTTCAGATTTGGGCAATTTTTAGGTACACTTAAGTTCAGATTTGGGCAATATTTAGGAATAATTAGGGATTCAGGAACATTTGGGGATTCAGGTTCAGATTAGACATTATTTTGGAACATTTGGGGACATTAAGGTTCAGATCTGGCAATATAATATTTAGGGACAAAAGTAGAGTTTTCAAGGAATATTTAGGGATACTAAGTTTTAATTAAGCAATTACTTAAAAACCATTTCGGAATATTTTGTTTCAGATTGGGCGATATTTAGGGCATTTTTGGATATTCATTCATTTTCACATTTTCAGGTCCTTTTCGGGATTTTTGAAATTTGAAAATGCAAAATAAGGTTAAATTAACTAATTTTCTGGTCTGATCTAATATTAAATTAAAATTAGATTTCAACATAAAACTTTGAAATTGTGAAATTTTTGAAATTATATTATGAGGGAAGCGGGCAGGGGGAGGACTAGAGGATCTGAGGATCTCATAATGAATGGAGATGGGATTTAGTAAGATAAGGCCGATTATAGATATCTCAAACGGTATAAAGGATTATCAGTTTAAAAGCCAAACAAAAAAGAACTGAATTAGATTTAATCAAATTGAAAGGATTTGAAAAGATCAAAGGATTTAAACAGAATTTAAAAAGATTAAAATAAACTGAATGGGTTCTCTCCTAAATAATCATTTAAAATCACTTGTAACTGTCCTAGAGAAAGGCCGGATAATATCCTACGGTTTAGTTTAAGGTTGGTTTGTATTCCAAGTAAAGAAGTAAGGTTTGGACTCACTACTCGATCCCTTCTCTTCTCAGCGATCTGTTTGGTTGACTCCGATCTTGCGGAGATAAGTCCTTGTCTTGCCTCAACCTGGAGGATTTTAACTCGATTTCTAAAAATTCGATCATTGTCACTCAAATTCTGGGTTTCATTGGTCCTTGGTTGGGTTTCTTTCTTTTCATCCTCTTCCTCTTCTTCCTCTTCCTCCTTATCTTCTTCTTCTTTGTTTGTTAACTTATATTCTTCCTTGTTTAAAGTATCCCTGTTTCTAAATATTGGAACTATTATCTGTCCAACCTTTTGAGAAATATTACATCTTGCAATCTGCTCTGCTACTCCGTCGTACTCCACCTCTCCATCTTCAGCCTGTTCGTCGTCAGATACAATATCGTTGACGAAACATATCTGTAGGTCTTCCTTCTCCAGAGCAAGCTGCTTCCGAATATTCTCCCGATCTTTCCCCTCCCTCACTATTCCAGAAACACGATTAAACCGATCCAGGATATCCAGCTCAGGGTCCTGTGTACAGCAGTAAACCTCGCCGGACATATCCAGGAGTCGAAACCAGGATCCAAGGACGAATCTTGCTTCTTGCTCCGGGTACACTTCATATGTAGATAGGATACTGGAGTAACTGCATAGCTCCGTCCTGTACGGAGGTTGTGTGTAAGACTAGTTAGTGTGGAGGCTGTAGGAAGGATACTCCGGTATTCAGGACGGATACTGGACTCGGACTGCATGGTGCAACTGATATCTCGTGACGGGATTCTGATCCTTCTCTGGTAAATCAGATGGTTTTACTATCAAACCTCATCAGATAATCATCCTATTTATAAACCTTTAATAAAATATGTAATAACTATAACGATTATGCTCTAGGTACAAATTATGTAGTTGAATGGAGGTCAATGGTTATTATCGGGGAATATAAGAATTATAGTAAATATTACACACAAGGACAATTAGAAAGTACATGCAATACTATCATAAAAAGGTGATAGTACTACAACATGGTTGTTTTTAGAGGATATCTGCAAAACAATAATAAACAATACATATTCAAAGAAACTCGGCTTTTGCCGCAGACAGGGATTCCAATCCCTATATCTTTGCACCCCAATGTTTCATAGACTTTCGATATGTCATTGTCAAACTATGATTTCTGTTAGATTCAAATATCTTACATCATTTGGAATATCAAAGATATACACCATCAGGTTGCATAGATATAGTGATAAGAAAATTTGAGTTTGTGGCAGGAACTTATTACATGTTCATTTAGGGAGGACATTATAAAATTTAAATAATACTTTGACAAAATTTCTACAGTCGTCGCTAAAGTGGCAGCTGTTGTTCTCAGGGGGCTAAGCCGGTATCCTCCCCCTTGGCAGCTGTTGTTTTCAGGAGGCTTAGCCGGTATCCCCCCCCCCTTGGCAGCTGTTGTTCTCAGGG